GGGCCTCTTATTTGTTACAATTAGAACTTTCTGGATCTGGATATCTGTTTCTTTTCATGGGTTAGGAAACTTTCAGCCATAATTTTTTTGAATAGGCTTTCAGCTCCTTTATTTTTCTCTTTTCCTTCTAGAATCCCTAAAATAGGAAGACTAGTGCACTACCTGGGGCTCCACACGTCCTTTATATAAGTTATCGTCACCCTTCTTATTCTTTTTTCTATTTGCTGCTCTGACTGGGTGAGGTCCACTGCTCTGTCTTCAGGTTCACTGGTCTTTTCTTCTTCTTCAACTGGTCTGCTGTTGAACCTCTCTATTGTATATTTAGTTCAGTTATTTTTCAACTCTATGATTTCTGTCTGGTACTCTTAAATATTTTTTATATTTTTGTTGAAATTCTCATTTTTTTCACACATTACTCTCCTGGCATTGGTGTGCATCTTTATGACTGTTCTTTTGAGCTGCCTATTAGGTTAAGCATTATCTATGCTTCTTTAAGATATATTTCTAGAAATTAATTTTGTTCTTTTGTTTGGAACATATCCCCCATTTCTTAACTTTCCTTGACTCTTTGTGTTGTTTTTGCACCTTAGATAAAACATCCATCTCTACCAATTTTGACAGAATTATCTCATGTAAGAGATGAACCTCATTCATTAGACCAGCCCAAGGTCCTAGTTGTCTCTCATACTTTCTGACTGTCCAACCTTCTTTCTTTGTTGTTAGTGGCTTCCTGTGGTTGAAGATATGTTAAGACAAGCAGAGGATTGCATTCAGATGCAGGCTGGCTAACAATCTGGCCCTCAGGCAGCTGCTGGGAAACCATGTAGTCAAGGTCCTCCCAGGGAGAAACTGGTAAATGCAAGTTATTGCTTGTTCTCTCTGTGTTGTTTACAGGTGTCTAGCTGCAGGGGGTGGGATGGAGTTTCTTTGTTTACTACAATCCTGTGGGCATTGTGAATACAAACCCCTTTAACTATTATGGCCATCCCTCAGGTGGCAGTTACAAAATTGGACCACCAGATGTGTGTGAAAACTCCTTCCAGGGAGATACGTGTGACAAGGAGAGGTGGGAGAGTATGTTCTGGCTTTCCTGGTCAGTGAAGAAGACCAACATCAGACCTTAGAAATCTGTGAAATTAGAAGCCAGGCTCTAAAAGGTGGCAGCTTTTTTTTTTTTTTTTTTAAAGATTTATTTATGGGCCTCCCTGGTGGCGCAGAGGTTGAGCGCTGGGTTGCGAAGCTGCCTGCAGCGCTCTGCAGTGCTGGTTTGATCTCTAGCTGTTCCCCTGCCACTGGCGAGGGTCCCACATGGCATGCAGACCTCTCCTGCCACTCGCTGCTCCCCTCAGCAGTGTGCTTCGGTCCTTCTGCCTGCTCTGCTCCCCGCTCTGGCTCTGGTGAATTCAATCACCCTCCTGCACTTCTGACTGTACCCAGTGCTTGTATAAATGAATGAATGAATGAATGAATGAATAAAATCTTAAAAAAAAAGATTTATTTATACAAGCACTGGGTACAGTCATAAGCACGGGAGGGTGAGAGAATTCACCAGAGCCAGAGCAGGGAGCAGAACAGGCAGAAGGACTGAAGTACACTGCTGAGGGTGTGGCAGGAGAGGTCTGCACGCCATGTGGGACCCTCGCCCAACAGCCGGGGATCGAACCAGCACTGCAGAGGCTACGGGCAGCTTCACAACCCAGTGCTCAACTGCTGTGCCACCGGGGAGGCCTGGCAGCTTTTTTTTTTTTAAAGATTTATTTATTTTTATTATTTATGGAAAGAATAACTGGGGTGCAGGCCAGAGGTGTGGGGCATGAAAGGATTCACCAGAGACAGAGTGGGGAACAGAGCAGGCAGATCCACTGAAATCCACTGCTGAGGGGAGCAGCGGGGAGACAGGAGAGGTCTGCTGCGCCATCTGTGGGTCAGCAACCTGGCCGGGGATCAAACTCAGGCTGTAGGTGTGATAGCACTGAAAATTAACCCCTACATAAAAGGTAGTAGCTTTTAAAGTGTTTAGATAAATCTCTTTCAGTATAGATGGGAGATAGGCGATTTTTGTCTGTTCCCTCTGTACCGAGTCCTTGAGTAATAATAGCCTGTTAAGAATTGATTCTTTATTTGTTACAGTCCTACAGGGATGGAAGTGTCTCTGGTTAGCAGTGCCAGGTGATCAGAGACCCATCCTTGGGCAGAAGTTCTAAGAGCTGGTGATAATGGTGAGTAGGGAGGCATGGGGATAAGGAGGGAGTTGTCATTCACTGAAAAAACATATTGTGAATACCTGCTATGTGCTAGGCACTAGAGGTTAGAAAGACAAGATGGGCACCAGCCTTGTATTGACAAAGCTCAGAATCTTAGTGAAGGGACAGGCCAACAATATTTCAGTGTGATAAATGTTTAACAGGAGTGTGTGCAGTTGTCTGAGAGTTTAGAGGAGGTGGACAGATGCCTTCATTTAGGAGTGATATATGATCCGGGTCTTGAGGGTCGTGTAGGGGCTGGCAGGCAGGGTGGACACGCTTGCCTTAGACATGGTAGATTTCTTAGAGACAACAGTCACTGCCCCAAACTGCTTTAATCATGTACAACCACAAAAAGAAGTTTGTGGCTTTAGACAGCACCATTAAAAATCTGGAAGTCTCAGTTTGCTTTCCTGTTGAATAGGGAGAGTAACATCAACCGCTCAGAATCACAGGGAGAATGAATCAATTTATGTGGTTTGCAAGAGCAAGTGTTTACTTATTAGAAAGCCTCCAGGGGGAATACGTGGAAGGAAACAGTAACAGGGAAGAGAACAACCAGGCATGAACAATGGAAAGCAAATGGAACTGGACTCTCATTAGCCCTTGATGGATTGATCTTCTGTCTCTGAGTTCCCAAACTCCCAGCAGTTTCAACCTAAAGCTTGTTCAATATTTTAAAACCAATTTAAAACCAATTTTTGAGTTTGCCTTTTTTTAAAAAAAATATCGCATTAATCAAAAAATACATTAAGTTTAGGGTGAGCAGCCTAACTGATGAGAAAAGTCTGATTGGGCCCCAGGAGACATGGACTCTCCTGGCTGGATAATGTGAGAGTCTAGTAAGAAAGACTAGAAACCACTCGGCTTTCAAGAGGAGACGGGTGGAGAGGTGCCACAGGCAGTGGAAGGGAAAATCTCACCGGTGAGTTAGATTGAAAGGGACTGTGAGGAGGGCTAATGAGGGTATTTGTATTTGCAACATTCAGACACCAGGCGGCATCTGCATCTTCCGTTCAGGGTGCGGTGGAGTTTTTAACATGGGGCGTGTAGAAGGGCTGTCCTTTGTCCACCCCAATTTAATGTCTGTCAGTGGCAGTCTCTGCAGACAGCCTCCGTCATGCTGGTAATGATGCTTAAGGCCAGGTCTCACTTTTTCCAGCTTTTCTGAGTTGAACATTAAGGTTTTAATGACTTAAAACAATTGGGGGGCTACCTCAAATTTTAACACCAAGGTTGGCTGGATGCTCTTGAATGAAGAATGGGGGGATCATGGGCGGGTCAAATACCTGGATGGCTTTAGGTTAAATGAAGCTTTTCTTCCCTTTACTGCGACTGTTTTTAAGTGAAGAGATGTTAGGGACTCACTTCTGGGCGCTGTGGGTGTGCTTGTGATCACAGGAGCATTGTGGGTGTAAATTACTACACTGACCCCGCTTCTGAGGCCCAGGCTTCGCCCTTTGGGTTACAGTGAAATGAGGCAGGGAGCGGAGTGTCTCAGGGCCATCATTATTTCTGACATTGTACCCAGCAAGCCTGCATTTGAATTCCCCTGAGCTAAAATAAAATAAACAGAAAGAGCATTTGCTGCTTCTGCTATCATGTTTACTTAGTCATGCTAATATTGAATAAATACATCCACAAACTCCCTTGTAGGGATGCACTTCTTTATGCTCTGAATTTAGAGCATTTAGATTGTTAAAATTCTCCACTGTAAAATTAAAATGTTCTGGAATTTCTCTGTCTATTTACAAGGTTTCTGTCAATAAAATGACTAAAGAATTTATCTGGGCAGCTGTGGTGTTTAAACCCTTGTTAACATCTCTATCAGGAGAAAAATAATGAACAAATTCATCAAGTGTGCTGCAGATTTTACTCCTTTCCCCTAAGGTTTGGTTGATCATAATTAATAAATAAAAGAAAATATATTTGCATTTCCCTAAGCCTGATATTGCACATTGGGGAGAGCAGGGCTCAGCATACACAGACTTTAACTAACCAGGACTGAAACACAATGTAGTATAGTTCCTGGTGTTACTTATAAAAAACCAATAAAAAACACCAACAAAACACAGACAACATCTTTGCATTATCATCTCCTTCTATTTATGTCATTCACAGAGATAGTTTTTGCAAAGATTTTAAGCAAAGGACTCTCTGGTGGCCTAGGGGTTAGTCTCAGCCTGTCACTGCGACAGCCTGAGATCGATCCCCGGCCAGGGAGCGACCCACAGGGCACAGCAGACCTCTCCTGTCTCCCTGCTTCTCCCCTCAGCAGTGTGTTTCAGTGGATCTGCCTGTTCTGCTCCCCACTCTGTCTCTGGTGGATCCTCTCACCCCCCCACCTCTGGCCTGCACCTCAGTTCTTGTATGCATAAATAAATAAAAATAAATCATTAATAAAAGATTTAAGCAAAGGCCCTTTTGGAAAACAAAGACGTGGAGTTAGTGTGGACCTCTCTAGGTGGAGGTAACTTGCTTCATCTCCCCTCTACTGCCTCTTCTGCTCTGCTCCTTAGCCCCTGCCCTTACACCTGTGGGGAAAACCAGCACGGATGTCCGGCGACCCGCAGGCCCCTGGGAGCGCCGCAGCTTTCCCAGAGGAGGGCGCGGTGGCTGGAGGGAAGCCACTGTCCCATCGCGTGGCCGTGGACGTCCAGTTCCTGTTCTGTTCAGAGAGAAACCACCACTCCAGATGACCCCAGGAACAGCCCTGTCTCCCCCAGACAGGCCCAGCCCCGCTCAGGCGGCGCCTACCTGGCTCTCGGCACCCGAGGCTGAGGACACGGCGCTGCACTCCCCGGCGTGGAAGGCGTCCTTGCAGTCCCGGCAGAAGACGAACTGCGGAGAGACACACGCGTGAGGGCCGGGCTTGCCACAGCTCGCTCTCCCTCTCCAAGCTCACCACCACCGTCCTTCGACTTGTTTTTTGCACCAAATTACTTTTTGCAAAGAGAAATAAAGTTATATTTGGCTGGGGTTGTTCACGCTTTACTACAGGGTGTCCCAGGCGCCCTGGCGGGGTCTCAAAGACCAGAGAGTCCGGTTTCCCTCCTCGCAGAGCCTGGTGTCCCGCAAGTGCACAGCTGTGGCTGCTGGTGTGAGAGCGCGAGAGTCACGCCCGACACTCGTGTGCATGCACAGAGGCCTTACACGTGCCTGTAGTTCTTGTGTTGAAAACCTGCAATGGGGAGAAGCAGGGACTCGTGCCTCTCTACATTGAAACTTCACGCCTAGAACCACGGAATGGGGCTGCGTCTGGAGGTTAGGCCCTTAAAGTGAGTTCTCTGGGGTGGCCCTACCCCAACATGACTGCTGTCCTTTAAGTGGTCAGCACGTGGGTGACAGCACCCACACTGACAGCGGCCAGGTGGGGACGTTCAAGAGGACGGCCGTCTGCAGCCAGAGAGGCCTTGGTCTGCCCACACCTGGGCCTCGCGCCGCAGTGCTGCTCTGCCCCAGCTGTGGGGCGTGGCCTGGTGGCCTCGGTGAGCGTGTCTTCCCACGTGGGCCCAGCATCACGCGCCATGGCAGGGAGGAGACTTGGAACCTGCTTCTCTCTGCCCATCACCTAACGGGGGAGATGCTAGACAAGTGGGTGCTGACCGGAGCAGCTGCCCCCACTGTCTGCATTGCCCCCACCCCCAGGCGCATGTGTCCCTCCCCGGGCCTGTCCTGGAGTGCCTGTGGCAGCTCAGAGGACAGGAGTGACCACCGGCCTGCCCGCTGAGACAGCGTGGGAGGGCCGCCTTGGCTCCGTGCCTCAGTTTTCCTGCTGAAAGCCAGAGTAATGGGGTATCTCCCGCCATCACCGTGGGAGGCAGGGGGGAGAGTCCACGCTGGGTGGCCACTCCCACACCTGGCATGCTCTGACTTTCAGGAGGTGGCAGCCTGGGATCCTGCTAACTGATTTCACAGCCGGAGGAGGAGTTGCTTTTCTAGAAAACAGGTTCCTGCAGGGACATCCCCCTCGCATGGGAGCAAGAGCTCAGAGCGGGCGTGTCCCGGGCAGCTGTGGTCGTGGCGAGGACAGCGCCACAAGTGCGGGTGTGGGCCTGGTGTCAGGCACAGACCCGGGGGCTCCTCCCCTGGTGGCTGGGCCCCACCCTCCCCTCCAGGCTGGAGGTGCAGACCACCTGGCCAAAAGCTAGGGTGGGGCAGGGGTGCTGGGCCCAGCCAGAAGACACCCCAGCTCTCTTCCTCTCTTGGGACCTGGCTCTGGAAACCCAGCCGCCACGGGGACACACACCAGAGGAGGAAGCGAGGCCCGCAGCCCACAGGCCAGGCCAAGTGTGCAGCCGCCGACAGCACTACCTGTCAGGTGAGCTGTGTTTCAGGCGGGTCTTTCCGTGCCTGTGGGCGCTGCCCAGGTGAGTCCAGGTGGGTAGGACAGCCGTCCTCACAGGGCCTGCCCAAGTGCAGGCTTGGGGGCCAAAGCATTGCAGGTGTTTCTTTTTTTTATGACTGTTTGGGGGTGTTCTCTACACAGTAAGGGGTCACTGATGGTGCCATCCTCCACTGCCCGGGTCTCAAAGACAGTGCCAGGGGCTTCAGTGTTCTCAGATTAACACTGTTCTGCAGAAGCCAGGAGTTAGCACTGTTCTGTTTGAGGTAAGGTTGACCTGATTAAACAAAACCAGAACCAAACAGGATATAGAAACCCCCACCAGCTCTGTTCCCCCTTCGCCACCATTCCTCTGCCACAGGAAGACAGCACGCCAGAGTCTTCCCTCCATGCTGTCCTCGCCATGCAGACACGCTTCCCTCCGCCCCAGTCCAGTTTTATTTATTTATTTATTTATTTATTTTTGTGTATAAGAACTGGGGTGCAGGCCAGAGGTGGGGGTGGGATGAGAGGACTCACCAGAGACAGAGTGGGGAACAGAGCAGGTGGATCTACTGAAATCCACTGCTGAGAGGAGCAGCGGGGAGACAGGAGAGGTCTGCTGCGCCATGTGGGTAGCTCCCTAGCCGGGTATCGAACTCAGGCCTCCTCGGTAACAGCACTGAGACTAACCCCATGGTTACCCAGGAGGCCCAGTATATTTTTTAAATTAATGTATCTGCTCATCTTTCCATTTGTCCCAGGCCTGTCACTCTTATGTGCAAAGTCGAGGAAATGTGGGTTGTGTGGCTGGGCCACGGAGAGGTGCCCACAGTGTGCGGGGGTGGGGGGCTCTGACCCCCACTGCTGCACAGGAGCACGTCCAAGCTCCTGGCGTGACAGCAACACGCGTCACGTCTTATTAGCCAGTGGATGAGATATAAAATCAGTTCCATGGCAGAAGAACACCCTGGAGGTTGATCAGTTTGTCAGAATAAATAGGCCTTTCCTGACACAAAGACATTAAATTCCTTTTCACACGGTCCTGTAAGACACGGCCTATAAAAATAACAGACGAGAGAGAGCGCATGAAGCCGCAGCCCTCGCTCAGCATGCGGGGGACACACGGGCAGCAAAGCGCCTGGACACTGGGGGACCAGCCAGACGGACACCTGGGTGGTGCCATCTTCTGGGCAGGAGTTCACGTGGCCAGGAATAAGCCACACGCTGCACAGCAGCGATGGTCGGGGGCCTGCTTTTGTTCTAGGAGGTTCTGCTTGGAGCTTTGTCTCCAGGAATCCATTGGTGTGAAGTGAGGACGGGCCGGGGACTCTGTTGAGACCCCTGGACGCCACCCCACACACGATGGGGACGTATCTAGCAGGTCTGGTTTGACCTCAGAAAGGGCCAGGTTTTTAATTACGTTTCCTGAGATCCACCCTGTCAGCCTGGTGCCTGCTCAAATGTTTAGGCCTCTAGTTCCAAAACTGGGCACCAAGGCACCCTGGGGTGCCACCACCACACATGGGGGTGCAGCAGGGACATTTTACATTTTTGAGGAAAATGCGGTGATACCCAACATCTGCCGGGCACCACGTGACTCACTCGAGAGCTGACCGCGTCCGTGTGCACGGAGCTCTTCTGCAGCACACTCTGCAAAGCTGGGTTTGGGGAAGTGACTGTGATGTGGGAACAGCTGCCATGAGCTGAGAAATGATCTTAAGGTAAAAAAATATTTTTTCATTCAGTTTCTGTGAACAATGTCTTCAAGTGACCATTAAGTTGGTAAGACACTAATTCTTATGATTGGACCCAAATATTAAATAAAGAGAACTGTTTGTACTTTCTTTTGGCCCAAAACTACCACAAAACACTGCATCTCGAAGGGCCTGTGAACAGAGGAAGTTCGGGCTTGGGACTTAGGACACAGGCCCCGCGAAGGGACAGTTCTGGGCCAGCGCTGCTGGGGTCTGGGCATGTCAGGGAATGAGCTTGAGGAGGCAGACACAGCTCTGAAGTCACCACGTTTGTTCTGCCAACTCACCTGTCTCTCTCTCTCTCTCTTTTTTTTAAGATTTACTTAATTTATTTTTGCATACAAGAACTGGGGTGTAGGCCTGAAGGGTGAGAGGATTCACCAGAGACAGTGGGGAACAGAACAGGCAGACTGAGTGAAACACACTGCTGAGGGGAGCAGCGGGGAGACAGGAGGGGTCTGCTGCGCCCTGTGGGTAGCTCCCTGGATGGAGATCGAACTCAGGCTGCAGTGGCTGCGGACAGCTTCATAGTGCTGAGACTTCACCCTGTGCCACCAGGGAGGCCTCGCCCATCTCCTCTCGGGTGCGTGGAGCTGGCGTCACGGAGCAGGTGGGCACTGCAGGTTACCAGGGATGGGCTCGCCCACGTGGTGTCCGGGGTCACCCACAGCGATGCTGACCTGGGGAGCCCTGTCCTGCACCACACGGGTCTTTCCCTGGGATGGTCTTCGCCTGGCATTGACCTGACAAGTGCCCCCGCTCCCAAAGATTATTTTAAAAAAAGTCATTAAAAAAAATCTTGGCGATGTCATGAAAGCAACATCCTGGCTGTATCGCTTCTCTTGCGCTGCCAGGCTGGCTGGGAGTGGCGCGTGGGCCACGCCGTCTTCCTCCCGGGATGTGAGTTTAAGGGTTGGCTGAGCTCGGCTCCAGCCTGGACTCCGTCAAACACGCATGCAGGTTTCTGCGGAGGCGTCTTGTCGGTGCAGGGCCTGCGGGCAGTTTGCTTCCAGAGTCTGAGATGATCTGGGTGGGCCTGAGTGAGTCAGGTGAGAGGTTTTAAGGGCTGAGGCTGCTCTGAGAAGACAGAGACTCTCTGGGGCCGTGCGTAGACAGTGGCTTCAAGCCGTGCCTGCAAGCTCCCGCCAGCCCTTCCTCGGGGCCCCTCTGGATTCAGGACCTGCCTCAGACACACAGCCCGGTTGCTTGCAGTCTGCCTCTTGAGCCGTCTGTCTGTCTGTCCATGTGTCTGTCTGATCCACCCGACCTCCCACTGGCCCAGCCCTGGAGGGCCTCTGGCTGATACAGCTCAGGTCCTATAGAAAAAAATTGTATCAGGCCAGTTTATTCCCTGGCATTTTGCACAGGGACTGATATAACAACAGTGATTTGAGTTTTCCATGTTTAAAAAAAATCGTAACTAAGCCTCTTTCTGGCGTGTTCATCCTGCGCACGGTCGCTCTGGGTATCCAACGCGGGGCGAGTTCCTTGGCCGCAGCCTGACCCGGTCCCTTGACTAAACTGTGAACACAGTTAAGTGTCAGCCCGAGACACTTTGCTCTTTGATCAGCTGCCTGTGAGGTTCACACTTAACTTAAATTCTCACTTAACTGTAGTATTATTTCATCCTAGGCGCCTGAGATGAGACACACAATTAAAAAAAGCTATTTAATAAAGCATAAGCGTAACAAGACAATTTTTTTTCTAATAAAGAGTAGCCAAACTTATTTATCATTCAAATCATGTTTTTACCTTGTTGA